TACCAGCACATTTCATTTTTCCTAGCATCTTTTTATTGGTACGACATGCATCCGAGAATTAATTTAAAAAAGTTATTGTTCGCTTATAAAAGCGTAAAAGGTCTTATTCCTTCCTTCCCTTGTATGATCCACTGGCCACCTGCTTTCAGCTGTCCCAAAAACTAGGTGAACATTTAGAGGAGAAGGAATTATTTTCTCTTATGTCCCAAAAATGTGGAACACAATGTCTTTAAACTTAAAGCACATTTCTTTCAAAAAAGCATATGGCTTGCTGCGAGATGACATGCTCCTATTTGGGCACTGTCGTATTTTATGATTATATTGCTTTTATATATTATTTACAGTGAGAAAAATAAGTATTTGAAAAAGTTGAAAAAGTATTTGAACAATAAAGTTCTACTGTGTAGAAATTATCGAGGGGTCTGAAATTGTCATCTTAGGTGCATGTCCACTGTGAGAGACATAATAATAATAAAAAAAAAAAGAATCCAGAAATCCCAATGTAGGATTTTTTAACTATTTATTTTGTATGATGCAGCTGCATATAAGTATTTGACCACCCGAGAAAATCAATGTTAATATTTCGTCCAGTAGCCTTTGTTTACAATTACAGAGGTAAAACGTTTCATGTTGTTTTTCACCAGGTTTGCACACACTGCAGAAGGAATTCTGGCCCACTCCTTCACACAGATCTCTAGATTAGTCAGGTTTCTAGGATGTCACTGAGAATCACAGAGTTTGAGCTCCTCCAAAGATTCTCTATTTAGTTTAGGTCTGTAGACTGGCTAGGCCACGCCAGAACCTTGATATGCTTCTTACAGAGCCACTCCTTGGTTATCCTGGCCGTGTGCTTCACGTCATTTCATGTTGGAAGACCCAGCCTCGACCCATCTTCAGTGCTTTACCTGAGGGAAAGAGGTTGTTCCCCAAAATCTTAAAAAAAATGGCCCCAGTCATCCTCTCCTTATTACAATGCAGTCGCCCTGTCCCATGTGTAGATAAACACCCATAAAGCATAATGCTACCGCCCCCATGCTTTACAGTAAGAATGGTGTTCTCGAGATGGTACTCATTATTCTTATTCCTCCAAAACACAATTAGTGGAATTATTACCAAAAAGTTCTATTTTTGTCTCATCTGACCACATGACTTTCTCCCATGACTCCTCTTGATCATCCAAATGGTCTCTGGCAAACTTAAGACGGGCCTCGACGTGGTCTAATTTAAGCAGGGGAACATTCTGTGCCATGCATCATTTCAAACCATGATGTCTAAGTGTAATACTAACAGTAACCTTTGAAACGGTGGTCCAAGCTCTTCTCAGGTCATTAACCTGCTTCTCCCGTGAAGATCTGGGCTGATTCCTCACATTTATTAGGATCATTGAGAACCCACGAGGTGAGATCTTGCATTTGAATTCTTGCTGATTGTATGTGGTGGACAGGTGTCTTTATTCAGCTAATGACCTCAAACAGGTGCATCTAATTTAGTATAATAAATGGAATGGAGGTGGACGTTTTGAAGGCAGACTAACAGGTGTTTTAGGGTCAAAATTCTAGCTGATAGACAGGTGTTCAAGTACTTATTTACACCTGTATCATACAAATAAATAGTTTAAAAAAAAATCATACATTGTGATTTCTGGATTTCTTTTTTTTGTATGTCTCTCACAGTGGACATGCACCTAGGGTGACAATTTCAGACCCCTCCCTGATTTTTAAGTGGGAGAACTTGCAAAATAGCTGGGTGTTCAAAATACATATTTTCTTCACTGCATTTATCTAAGTATGTATGACATGGTGTGAAAAGGTGGTGACCTTTGTGCTTTAGGTTAACACTTCCAATGTGGTTTCAAATTCTTGAAGCAGAAACAGTCGATACAAGGTTCTTATCATATACTTGCTGACTGTTACTGCTTGCAAAATGTTTCTACACATTATGGAAAATAGTTTCAGAAATTGGTACAGACAAATTTTTTTTTTTTTAGATATTTTGAACAGAGGTATAATGTTCAAAACCCTGAAAATCTGTCACACCTATCAGATACAATCGGGTGCTCTCTGTTTGTGTAATATGTCTTTACCTGGCAAATCTTGCGTGTTGTACAGTAGCACAGTGTTCATGCATTTTATATGGGATCATTACTAGGCAAATTACTTTATTGTGTTAAAATCTTTGCTAATATATCTATATCTGTTTGATATAAAAATATATTACTTAGGAAGATTTTTTTTCTCAAAAAGTTCATATTCAATTGCAAACTGAATATTAACTTCAATTTACATACATTTAACATAAATACAAACCGTTCAAAGGCGTTTAAAGTATGAGACATTAAGGCCATTGAATAAGCTAATTTGTTTTACTGAATGTAAACCAAAGAATAATTTCATCCTACTTTTTAAAACCAAGAATAAGTTTAACACTATCATAACTTCCATTCATTTTCTGTCGCGCTTCATCCCTATTGGGGTCACGAGGGGGGCTGGTGCCTATCTCCAGCTGTCTATGGGCGAGAGGCGGGGTACACCATGGATAGGTCACTAGTCCATCGCAGGGCAACATAGAGGCAAACAGGACAAACAAACATTTGCGCACACTCTCACACCTAACGAGAATTTAGAGAAGCAGATTAACCCAACAGTCATGTTTTTGGACTGTGGGAGGAAGCCAGAGTACCCAGAGAGAACCCATGCATTCTCAAGGAGAACAGGCAAACTCCACGTATAAAAAGACCCGGGCTGGGAATCGAAACCTGGGATGTTCTTGCTGCAAGGCAGCAGTGCTACCTACTCTGCCACTGAGCAGCCCTACTAGCCTACTATCCCAACTTTAGATTTACAATTCAGCAATTTGCAAGCAGAAATACTCAAGGTTAACATCCAGAAAAAAAAGTAAGTGGCAGAATTTTATAATAAAAAAAAAAAAAAAAAAAAAAAAAAAAAAAGCAAATCTTCAAATTCAGGTTTAATTAGTTTTACATACCAAACAGTTGGTTGCAAAAAGTTTTTAATGGCAATATAGACATTTAGAATTTGAAGATTCTCTTTTAAAGGGGTGTAATCAATGTAATCTGCGCTTTTCCTTTTAAAGGTTGGCTGTGTCAATTTTTTAAAAGTTGCCTTAAATTATTGTCTATGTTTATCATTAATTCTTGCTGTAACACACAGCTTACAAGAAATGATGATACAAAAAAACAAGAGTCATGATGGTTGAACAGTGGGTAACCCTGACATCCCAGTAACAGCTAAGAATTCCCACCTTCTGGTGCAGTGAGAGATTTAACACACAAGGTCAGAGGAGCAGAAAAACGACTATTTTGGTTTCAGTCTCATGGTTTTAGCTCTACTCTGTGGAGAAGATTACAGTTTAATCTTATTGTTTTGTTCCTATCCCACATTTTGTTTGAGATAGTAATTAAGGCTAACACATGAATTGAGAACACATGAGGTATACATGAACAATCTTTTGCTAGTCTTTGTTCTCTATAAGCAAGACGAGGAAAAGATTTGTTTATGATTTTCATACAATATTTGGTCTTTTTTCTGTATGTTCAACCCAAATGCCATTTATGTCATCACAACAATTTTAATATCATGTGGCACGGCAAGGTAAGTTTATTGATATGCCGCATTTCAGTTTTTAAAGTGCCCCACACAAACAGCTTAGGGTTAACCCCCTGGATTTCTGCACAGACCCCTGTGATGCGGAGGAGGCCTGGGAATGTTCTGTTTAATCACGTTTGAGATATAGCCTTGCTCCAGAGCCCCTGCAGCCAAATTCTGCCTGAGAAAAAAAAAGCACAGCTTCTGCACAGCTGCAGCAGCACCCTGAAGATATATGATCACCTTAACAAACACCACACACAGCTGGCATCAGGTTTTTCTTGTAACTAAATGTGAAAGAAGTTTGTTTCAGTTGCTCAGTATCTCACCTTTGTTAGCCTTTCCAGTGTTTTCCTAACCCAAATCCTCCGCTTGCCTTTTGAAGAATTTTAAAGTTCACGTTGTTACACTGGGACAAAAAAATATTCAGTAAGCTTAAAGCAACTTGTCCAACTCAGAAAAGATCTTTTCTCTAAAGTTTCATGATTTCAAATGATCTTTTGTCTGCCGATAACTTTGATCACAGTGTTAAAAGTGTTTTCTTATTTTTATAACAGACCATTTTTACAATCTAACACTATCATAATTCATTAGTAAAAGGTTCTCCAGATATTGTCACATTAAAAAGATGGAAGACGACATTATTTATTGTTGCTTTCAATATACTAGGCATGTTAAGCATGAATACTTAAAAGACCAAAAAGAAGATGATCTAGACTGAAGGGGCGTAATGTATTTTTTTAATCACCTTTTCTTTTATTGAATATTACATTTTCTTACTGAAAAGTACTTTTATTTCGCTAAATACCTCCATTTGCATTCATTTACTGTCAGTAAAAAAAAAAAAAAAAAATCACTTCTAAACCACCAACATTTGTGTTCCCCCAATTAGTAATTTTATTTTGCTTGTTGGGAAGTCCTTACTGTCTGTTTCTAGCTATGTCAAATGCAGTTTTAGCAGTTCAGATCTGCTTAAAAGTTAATCTTTTTTTACACATCCAATGTAAATATCTGACTCCAGAAAAAACCTTATGGCATCTCTCTAATAGGGGTCTTATAAATTAGAAATTGTGGATCATAACCTAACTAAAAAACCTAAATATCACCAAACTGCTAATTGTATCACTTTAACAGAGAGAAAAATAAGTAATTCCTAAAAAAAATACATAATATACTGAGACAGATCCTAATGGGGTCTAAACTTTTATAGGATGAATCGTTTTTATTATTCTCCCCTGGTTATATTTCATGTGGTTCTAACCTTTCATATTTGATATGCAGGATGGTGACTGCCCAGACAATGCAAACAATAATAAAAACCTTTATTATAAGAGACTGTCAGCCTGAAACTAAGCCTGAAGCTTTGTAAATATATTTACTTTTTCTCTTCCACAGAGGCCCCATCCACTGGGAGGTCTAAGAATGGATATGTTTTCCAGGAGATGGGTATGTAGCTGAAGTCGCATATAATGTTTATGGAGGCTGCACTTCTCAGCAGAGTCCTCCCCTCTTATGGACTCTATGTGATCTATATTGTATAAAATTTTATTTGGCTTCCCCCCGCCCGTGTGATGATGTGTATTTCAAAATATTCTATTAGTTCTTTATGCTAATATCAAAGCTTCTCTTTGCTTACTGATGGTCTGTTTCACATTCTGTTGAGCACAGCCAGTCCCTTCTCTGTGTGTTTGAAGGTTAATTAATGGGTGAATAACAAGGCAGGTGATCTCTGAGTTAATGATGGGGTGAAGGAATAATCATTGCTTAAATCTGGGGCTTATGAAGGGTTAATTATCTAATTCTGAGGTGGTTTCTCTTCCTTCCTCCCATAAGGCCCACAATCAAAAGCCTATATTTATCTTCTGTACATGAAGGAATTTACGAGAGGCTGCTGTTATATTGCTGCAGGTCTAGTTTGAGAGGGATTTTTTTATTGGGTCTTTCACTCTCTCCCCCCTCTTGCTGTTTTCTTGTCAACAGATGGCAAAGTGGAGGAAGGGCAGAATAAATTGTCCCTTACTGGAGATGCTGTTAATGTGGCTCGCATCCCATTGATTCAAAAAGCAGTTTTATCTCAGTGTGATCATAATGCGGCAGCATCTGAGGCTCTCCAAAGACATTTACTGTTACTTTTATGAGATTACCTCTGTTGTAAAACAAATGATGTGACTGTGCCTCAATGTATTATTCACAGAGCTAAAGGATGGAGAGAAGGAGGATTTGGAGCAGGACCTACCTACCAGTTTCGAAGACATATATGAAAATGGTGGGACTTGTTCTGAAAAAGGCGACTAACCTATTAAAAGTTAATTTTTTAAGTACAGTCTTTATTTATCATTCTGTTTAAAAATCTGCATTTCTTGAGAAAAAACTTAAAACTTAAAATCATGAACAAAATCTGAATTATTTTTATTTGTCTTTTTTTGCTGATGTTCTTTTGCAGACACTGAAGGTCCTGGATATGGGCTTTTAAACACAACCAGAAAAGTAAGGTTTAGTTTCAGTAAGCTAATGTTTACAATGTTGCTAAAAAGTAACAAAACAGCAGTTATTATCGAGAGTAATTTTTCAAATTAGCTTCAAATACACAAAATAATTCAACACATTTAGGTATGTCATTACTTATCATATGAAGGTGAAATAGATTTTTGTATAGAAAAATAGGAACATCTTAGTTGATGCTTTAGCTGTGATTCTTTTGCTCTCAGTTGTAGTTTTCTGTATGCCTATATCTGTCTTTTGAAAACATTTTAAAAATGTTTTAGTTAGGTTAATTAGGTTAATGTAGGTTAATTTACTTTCTAGAAAGATGAACACAATTCTCATTAATAGCTAAATTTGAGTCCGATCTTTGACTGGACCACTGCAGATTTCCTGGCTTTTGTTTTTGTGAAACATGTTACTGTGTTCTATGGCAAGTCTTGTTTATTTCTTCTTATCTGTCAAAAGCAGCATTGCTCATATATTATATATATTATATACAAACTGTGGTTAATCCATAAGTGTGGAATCTGACAACTCATGAAAAATCTTCAGGTTCAGTCCTTGTCTTGTCATGAACTTTAAGATGAGATATTCAGATGAGATAATTGGCATTGCCTAAATGTCTTCTACTTTGGACAGTTGTTCCCATTGTAGAATAATGGGTAGGAACCTTTTTTTTTTTTTTTTTTTTTTTGTATTGAATCCACTCCACTTGTGCACAATCCAGACCAACAAATTGCTCCGAACTTGTTCTGATGATCAAGCAGTTAAATGCTTTTTAATAACAGGATCTCACTTAAAGCCTTGTAATTCTTTTAGGAACTACCTTGACTTTGATCAATTTAAGACAGTTTTGATTATATTCTTCTATAGTCTTGCATTCTTGCAGTGAATTGGGAAATATTTTCCAACTCAGAAAAGAAAATTTTTGTGACACAAAAAAACTCTGATATCTAAGAAGCCATGCGATTGCAGATTATGATACGACTTCTTGTAATGCCATAATCTTTGGTTTTAAATTATAAAAGGCAATTAAAGATATGATCTAACACAACTGGTTCAGATAATGTCAAAAACACACAGAAAACAAAACCCAGGAAGCTTACCACTTTAATCGGGCTGTAATCCATTGATCATGAGGAATAGCACAGTCTGCAAGCACATCACCATTGATTTCTCTAACAGCAATATGTATTTCTCAGCAATATCACCATAAATGTGTAAAATGAAGTCATCAAAAAGAGGGAAAGAGAGTAGAGGAAGTAGGTTACGGAAGCCCTGGAAGGCAAGAGAGAAAGGAAAAGTTTCAAGTTTTTTTCTTTTTTTTCTTGTATTATTTTCTGCCCTGAAAGGCAAGTAAAAAAAATAAAAAATCAAAGGCAAATGTATCTGTTTGTTCTTGTAATTCTTTATTTTGCCACTAGAGGCACTGATGTAATAAGACAGTCACTCACAGCTGTATTCTTCAACTGTATAGTCAGAGAGGCTATACAGTTACATGTCCCAAATGTATATTTTTGCAAAGTAAAATAAGATACAAATAAGGTACAAAAGCTCTGTATTCATTGGTCATGGCCTGTGTTTATCATATCAATTTGTATTTTCATGAGCACTAGAGACTTATTTGCAGGGATGATCCAGCATATTTGTAGCACAATATCATAACTGCTCTTGTAGTAATTTCTGTACAGTATATACTAAAACAAATTAATCATCTTTTACTGTCAATAATCGTATATATTCTAATATTCTTTCCTTTCAGTATGTGAAGCCCATGAATTTTCAAGAAGAAGTGCGTGCCCACAGAGACCTGGATAGCTTCCTTTCTCAGGCAAGCATCCTTTTGGATGAAAAAGGTTCCACTCTGGATGAGGTTCTTAGGCGAATGATTGCTCACATGGTGGAGGACGGCCATGGCAGCTGTAACGTAGAAGAGGTGATGAACTCTTTATTCACAGATGCAGGAGGGAGAGATATAAATGGTGAGTGAAAAATAGAGGTCTTAATAATCATTAAATTGCAATTATTTACCCTCAAATAAGCATCAAAAACCTTATTTGTCTTGTTTTCTCATTCTTTTTACCTCTGCAGTTCATCTTCTGTCAGAGACAATTCAGGGTGTGACTACTACCGCAACCGGTATTCATTACCAGCAATCCTGGCTTTGTATTCTGTGAGTTCAGCAATGAGAGCAAACAGTTCTTTTATGATCAATACATTTCTACATTATAACAGACCTGTTTGGCAGAATCAGATCAGAGAGACCTGTTACTCTGAAAAGCAGTAGAAATACGTAGTCAATCAAATTTTTTATGTAGGGCAACTTCGGCCTGAATAAGTCTTTAAAAGGTTTAGGTTCTTGGTTGCATCTGTTAATGAAACTTTTGATTTAATCATTTCATTTACAAACAACCCAGAGAGATATTTCAACTGATCTCAGATATCTTTAGTAGTTTTGACCTTTTTCTATCATTACCAAGAATGTACATCTTTACTTTGTGAGATGATACACCCCTCTTTGGTTTTAGAGGTTCTCATTAAATTTTCAGACCAAAATTTGGCCCTAGGGCCTTCATTTTGACATACATGCTGTAGCTTAAGTTTCATTTTTTTTTTCTGAAAGGTCCAATGTGAGAAACCTGCAGAGACGTCAAGTCTGCATCACCCGTTTGGAGAGGCCCCAAAACTGGGGAGTCAACTGTTGTGAGGCTCGTTATGTAATCCTAATCCTTGCTCCACCTAGAATGGTAAGACTGAGAAGTGACTTCATAAAACAAGATGGATATTTTTTTAAACAGTTAATGATCTAACATATCTATTAGAAATGGTTTACTTTTGCCTATGTTACCATTTTAAGCTTCTAGAATGGCTCAGAACTCAATCTTAATGGATTACGTTGAAACCAAACAGTTTTAATGAACTGTTCTTCAGAAGCTTTTTCATAGCTACAAAAAGTGTGGTTTAACATGTACAAGTTGTTTAATAGTCAAAAATCTATGGAGGACCAGTAGAGTCACTTAAAAAGAAAAAAGGACAATTTCAAATTTAACATCTAAATCAAACAATTAGAAATCCAATTTAAATGTGTTCTGTAAAGGCACATTTAAATGTTCTACTATAAGCTAAATTTCACTGCATTTTAATACAACTTTCTATCTACCAAAACAACATGATGGAAGGTGATTTAGTTATACTATTTAAAAAAAAAAATAATATGATCAATGCCTCCAATGAAATTTAGTCTGACTACACATTATGTTGTTTGTAAATATTTTATCTAGAGTAATGGGAATGTGCTGTTTCTCCTTTAAATTATTTAAGCAAAGATAAATTGTAAATTGTATATATTTTTTTTAAATACTCCAATTTAAGTTTTTATCCTATTTCAGAAAACACATTTTAAAGAATAGAATACATTAATTTATTGTAAATATATTTCAACATAAAACATGTATGTCGTGATACAAGTTTGACTAACCAATGGGAGAGCTGGTTTCAACTGAGGAGCAACAGTAGCTGTCTTTACTGGGTTTTCAGTGTTCTCATATGGGACATGCAAAAGCTAAATGGAAAAGGGAAATCATTAAAAGTATACACAGGGACCAGAAGGTTAATAAAAATGGGAAATTAAGACGTTAAAATGAGAAGACAATGCATCTGCTAGAAGGATTTGAAGATACATGGTGATGGAAATGGAAACGGGAACTACTTTTTTAAATGTTTAAAAAAGTATTTTTAATCAGATTGATGTATCGTTGTTTTCAAATCCTCCAGTTAAAAGATCATTTAAAATACATGTTCAAATTGAAGCATTTAATTAATTTAGAATGTACAATCACAAACACATTTAAAATGTATTTCTAATGGTACAGTTCTAAATGTAAATGTTAAATCTAAAATGGTTGTTTTCCTTTTTCAGTGACTCTTCATGATGCTCGTAAAATGCACATTTGTTTTAGCCGTTATAGATAATTCTCACCATTTTTGGATAACCAAATATCCTTAATAGGCTCAAACCTGCAAATCCATTTTTATTCTTTTATTTTTTGGAAAATCCACATCCAAGAATGATATCCTACAAAATGCTGAACCAATCTCCAGCTAACATAAACATTTTTATTAAATAAACAAACCAGGTCTGTTGAAATCCTTTTTTTTTTTTTTTTGCAGAAAAGCACCAAAACAGCCGTTGAACTAGGTAGAACATTTGCCACCATGTTCTCCGACATTGCCTTCAGACAAAAGCTTCTGGAGACAAAAACTCAGGAAGAGTTTAAAGAGGAGCTGATCTCTCAGCGACACCAGCTCTCTGTAATCAGTGAGAAGACGGCCATAGAGGAAGTAGATGAGTCGGACCCACGGAAAGGAAAAGCTCTCCAGGTGTGAAACAAAAGTTTACAGTTAAACTGGGAAGTACTGTGTTGGGATCAGCCTTGAATTTACTGATAGATCACACAGTGATAAATGAATGCCAAAATGCATTGGTCAGTACAACACTGATCCTTCTGAGCAGGCGCCCTCACTTGCACATACTCCCTCTACTGGCTTCTTGAACTCTCCAAATTTGGAGACCACCCATGTGTTTTCAAGCATTATCCAGGCATATAAAGATGTAGTGCAGTAAAATAGATGAACCAAATTATCAGAGTATTCTGTTTGCACACCCTATTAGCCAGAGCAGTAGATGACAAGCAGCTGGGGAACGGTATAAAAACACTGCCAACCCTTTCATAATGCTGACGGCAGAATGTGAAGAGCTCAGCGATAAACTACTTCCTAGTATGCAGTTTTAAGATAAGAGGAAACACGTGTGTTGAAGAAGAGGGAATCTCCAAAGACCATATAGAGAGAAGGTAGGGGATTGGCTCGTTAGAGACTGCAGTTAACAACAGTTTGATGCCGCACCTTATCTTCCTACTGGGTTGTAAACGGCACTTTAGTATTGGATTGGAGCTGCCAAGCCATTGTTTTATCCTTTTATTTATTGTAAACTGCAAACCACACAAAGCATACAGTATGTTTATTTCTGAGATAGTGATCCATAGTCTACTTGGTTGGTAAAGTAACATTTCAGACAATGAAAAGCATTAAATTCACAATCTTGGAGCACAAACTGAAGTGGATTAAAAGCATCCTTGTTGGATATATAATTCAATTTGTATTTAAGTGTTCTCTATTTTACGTTTATTTCCAATACATATCGTTCTAAATGTCCCCCAGGACTGTCGAGCATCGACTGCAAAAACCTTAGTTTAACATGTACATATAGTGTATTTATGAATAATAAATGTGTGAAAGGATTTTCACTAAAAGGCAGATTTTTTTTAATGCAAGTGCTGCATGAGGCCTTTTCTAATGTTCACTATACCCATATAGTATTCATGCAGCATTAATACACCTCACTGTGACTTTCCTTTTCTTCACAAAACACATCCACGACTAGTGGTCTGTTTGGGCTCGTAATCTTTTCTGAGGTATACAGATATTTATCTTCCTCTTGTTGATGCAGTGAATAATTGCGCAAATAGATTCCAAAATGTTCTAAGGCCGAATTAGTAGTTTTGAACCTAAAATGTTTTCAGCTCTTACTGTATGGCATGTCATCTGAAAAGATGATAATCATATTTTCAGCTGTGGTTTTGATTCAGGAGGCTGGAATTACTTCCATGTCACAGATTTTGTTAAATATGCTATATGCAATAATTGTCTTAGCTTTACAGTCCATTTTATCGTCTTTATTTATTTATTGTAATCTTTTTTGTATTGAATAGTCCTGTGTTTACTTGTAGTATTTAATTCTATATGTATTCTATACATAGTTCAATACACCTGGAACAGAAGGGTTCCACACGCCGTATTGTTAGGCAAGCACAATCCTCGTGTCCTCTAGACAAACAAAAATAAAGTATGTCGATGTTCTTGCCCAGTTTGCAAAAATAAAATTTTTTTTAAATCCACATCCACAAAATTGCTATTGTCGGAATAAACCTGTATGATGCAGAGAACAGACAGGCTGCCTTTGATATCTTATAACAAAATAATTATCTAGTGAAGAGTGCCTCCATAATGCAGGAGCTTTAATCCTACACCCAATAAATGCATATACTCAATGTTTTAATGGCTTTGTAAAGGAAATCAAAAATATTGAAATTGGTTACAAATTTCAGGTGATTGGCAGAGTAATACCTATTTTACTATAAAAAAGTGATCGGAGCAGATTCTTGCCATTGTCAACAGCTTTTAGTTGCAGCTATTGTTTCCAAGCTAGACTCTCTGATGTTCAGCGGTCCTGTCCTCCTTTTTGTGGTCCTTCCTATTTTCTGATTATTAGAATTTATGGAAAACTGCACTTTGCTGAATTGTCTGCCTGGTTGGAACATCGTTTAACTCAACATGAAGCAACCACTGCAAAAAATAAATAAATAAATACATACATAAATATACCATTTTACCCACAACAAGCCAGTTAAAAAGAAAGAATCCAGATAAATGCTATGTAGTGCTCTATTCTATTCTATTCTAGTTTTACAAATGGATGATACATGTTTAGTTCTTAAGTTGTTTGTCTGTTAACTTGTTCACTATTATAAAGGTACAGTACATGTGGTTATCTGCAAAATAATATGTGAGGAACACTAAAATTAGAATAAGACACATTTTTTAGATTTTCCCATATTTTTCTTCATTTCAATTGTCCTGGCTATATTTTGCTTTGTGGCTCACAGTGCAAAGATTTCTTCAAAGCTGGTAAAGGGGTTTACGATGACCTCCGCCGGAGACTGCCTCTTTATCCTTCAGACTTCACAGACGGTATGACAAAGTTGTTGGTGGTCTGTTTGGTAGATCTCTGTTTTAGCTTTTCATCCCTTTTATTATCCAATTTACAGGTCTAACAGGAAAAGATCGCTGTTTACTGAAGTATACGACCACTGCTATTTTCCTCTACATTGCAATTCTCCTCCCTGCAATTGCCTTTGGCTCTCTGAATGATGAAAGCACAAGAGGGGAAATTGGTAAGGATTCTGTTTTAATAATGTATCGGGAATAGTATTATAATATTTTGGGAGAGGTGGCCTTGTGGTTAGGGCATAGAGCTTGGAATTCTGAGGTTGTGAGTTCGAAACTCACTCCCACAGATTCCACTCTGTGCAAAGACCTTTAACCCCACACTGCTCCCTGGGTGCTGAAAATCGCAGCTCACTGCTCCCCAAGGGGATGGGTTAAATGCAGAGAGTGAATTTCGTTGTGCTGTACATGTGACAGTGTAATGACAATAAAAGGGTGGAATACCTTGTCCTATCTTATACAATATTATTTGTATGTGTTAAGTACACAGTTGTGGTTCATTTTTGCAATCACAGATGTCCAGAAGACCATTGTTGGCCAGAGCATTGGAGGAGTGATATACTCTCTGTTTGCTGGTTCACCTCTGGTCATTCCTCTGACCACTGCACCTTTGGCCATTTTCATCAGTGGTGTGTATTGTTGGGTAATATTTTCAAAAAAAAATATCCTTATGCATTATGATTTTAGCACTTTATATTAATTATATCAACAGAAAAACAAAAGTAAAGAAGAAAATAAAAAAAATGTAGTTTACACATAAACAAATGACTTTAAGGAGACAGATAGTGAATAACAATTTTTCAAGGCTATAATCAGTCTAATCTATGATTTATAGCTTTTAATGATGCAGTTTGTTTTGCATTTGTTTTACATTTCTTACACAGACTTAAATGCATGATACCTCTACACCTATATATGGTCTAACATATGTTTTGTAAGCTTAGTGCATTTTCAATCACTAAACAGAATGAATAAGTCATAAAAAGCTGCAATATTATTCACAGCAAATAATTTAGAATTTCCATGTGGCTGTACAGGAGTAATTCTGATGAAATGCAAAATATTTATGAGTTTGTGTCTGTGTTTTGCTTGTATCTATAATTCATAGTTATCAGAGGTATCTGTGATGACTACAACCTCGACTTTGATGCTTTCTATGCTTGCATCGGTTTATGGAACAGCTTCTTCCTTATCCTCGGGGGCTTATTCAATGTCAGCTTAATGATGAAACTCTTCAAACGGTAAATACACAAGAAAATTCCTTTTATTACAATTTAGATTCTCTTGCTTGTAATACATTAAATGAGCATTAACCTACGGGGCCATGCACTTAAGTGAAATCAATAGTAAAAAAACAAAGATTTCTTTGTTTTTGCCATAAGTTTTTTCCTCACTAACTTTACTCTCTTTTCTCTCTTGGCTTATCTTCTGTTAGTTTGCTTTGAATAGGCTGCTGCTCTTGTAAGTAAAAAGATATGATTTGTGATTTTACTCTCTTTCTGTTTGTCTTATCATGTAGTTCAACTGAAGAGGTCATTGCATTGTTCATCTCCATAGCTTTTGTTGGGGACGCAGTGAAAGGCACTGTCAAAAGTAAGTCCCAGAAAGGTCAGAAAACATGACCCAAGCTGTAAACCCAGCTGTAATAGATAATGTTGTCCAGACGATATGATTAACCCCAGCAGAGTTTTCTGAGGTAGTGAGGGCCAAAAGTGCTTCAATCCAATGTATGGAAAATAATTCATAAATAATAGTTTATGTGTTTGTTTAAATAACAATATAATGAACTTTAATTAAAAATAGAATAAGAAATTTAAATCTAGTTATCTATATGCAAAAACATGTAGATATACAATAAAAAAAGATTATTTTATTCACAAGGCATTTCATCCTGTGTTTTAATTTAACATAGTATTATAAAACAATATAAAACCCTCTGGGTGCTAAACTCTATAGCAGCTCATCTGCATCCATCATCTTATATTTCATGGTATACTCTACAGGACAATAAAATACTAACAAACTTTAAAAATTTAAAGAAATATATTTCTAGCATATAAATAAATGAAAATTATTTTTTTTTTTTATTTTCCAGGCTGGGACAATGTAATTATTTTATGGTGGGCTGAAGTGCAGAACAAAAACCAAAAACGAATACTTTTATTAGGAACTGAAACTCATGTGTTTCCTTTATATGGACAACTAAATTCTGTTTTGTTTATATTTATTCACTTTTAACGATTTTTAATAATCAAACATATAAATATAGCCCTTAACTCTGTCTACAGGCAATAAAGTTCTGTGTTGAGCAGCGAAAGATACCTTAATCTGCTTTTCTCTTTTGCTAAAACTCGTTTTTACAGCTGGTGGGAAACTAACAAAGAATACTCCTAAAAACAAAAGTTTAGAAAAGACATGTTGGCATGACAGTGGATAAAAATGATCCTTCTTTTCTCATTCCTATCTTTTCTCACAGTTTTTGAACACTACTTCCATGGGCCAACACTGGCAACCACAAACAGCACAGTGGTGAGTCAGCAGTTTGATGAAATTCTGAAAGACATTGAGAACATAACAGCAACTGCGCCAAAGCATGGAACTGGGAGGAACATGTCACTTTTTGGACATCAAGAAGAGGAAGTTTTATACTATCTGCCAGAGACCCTGGTGCATTGCACAAGAGAAAGGCCCATTCTTTGTCTGCTGCTCATGTTGGGGACTCTGTGGCTGGGTTACACACTCTACCTCATCAAGAAGAGGTATGATATTTTACAAACATTGGCTCATAGTTCTTGTTCAACAAAGTGATTTAATGATTTACCTAAGTACTACTAGAACTTCATATTTAAGAACTTGAATGCTACATACAGTATGTTTATCACAGTAATGTGTGGGCTAACCCTTCAGTGCCATAGAGAGTAGATTCAATACCACTCCAAACTTGCTTTAAGCAGTTGACACTTCTAAACAGGGATGTCCAAAGTCGCTCCTTGAGGGCTGGGGTCCTCCAGGTTTTAAAATGACTGCCTGCCTTTAACACTTGGTTTTCACATTGCAGCTCAGTAAACATGTAAATAAGCCACAATGGAAATCAGATATGCTAAAGTAGAGAAACAGGACAGTACACTGGCTCTCCATAGACTTTGATACCAGTGCTTTACCATATGCAGGCATGGTGGGACACATCTGTTTTTCAATTCCATTAAGATTTATCATTTCAGTTATCATTCTTTAGTATAATCTCAATCCATATGAGTATAAAACTCATTATATTTGGAATAATGAAGCACTCTTATCAGCCAAAGCTAGCATCTTAACAATGTATTTTGCTTTTCATAATTTTTTGGGGGGTTATTCTTAAGTATTTTACACCTAAATAGTTTAATTTCTGGGGAAAAAGAGCCTATCCCCTTCCCTGAATGTATTTTTATTCACACTAGAATTGCAAGTGATGTGTCAGAAAACCCTTCTAGGTAAACATCTCTAACCTATAAAAATAAAATATGAAACAATAACTACAAGACAGAACTAGAGCAGCTCCCCCCCCCAACCTTGGTCCTAGGGCATCACTGTCCTTCATTTTTTAGATTTGTTTCTTTTCAAGCACATCTTATATAATCAATAGCATTACCATAAAGTGTATGCCAAAAAGTGCAGAATAGGCCTATTAACAACATATCAAATGTGTTGTAGGCGATAGCTTTAGCCTACTATGTACTCTGTCTAAAGAAACAATTTTAGTGTACTGAGTGTAGAATCCCTAGATAACTATCACTGACTTCAGGTTTAAACGCTGAAACGGATGCACCGGTGCCTAAATACCTCCTAAACAAAAGCAATATTTCATTTGTGCTGCATCAGTTTAGGATGACGTGAAGATTAGGAGAAGTTATTGCATCATCTGTTAGTTTGAGTTCAAAGCATTTCGGCATTTTCTTTTTTACCCATTGAAATGTCATATTCATCACATTTTATTTATCAATTCGTGAATTTAAATTAGATATTATTCCCATCGTAAAAAAGCAACTACAGAGATATTTATTGTGATACTTCTTCTACTGTAGAACACACTTCATGAAAGCTGTAGAAAGTTGTACTATGTGATGCTTTTTTTCCAATGCAGCCCATTTCTGAATTGCAAAATCAGAGAAGTGGTGTCTGACTGTGCTTTGCCTATCTCCGTGCTGATATTCTCCTTCATTGGCTCCTATCTTTTCATTGACATACAGCGTAAGTACAGATCCATCAAATGAAGGTATTTATTGAAGACTACCCTTGAGGCTCAAACTCACAGCTATGGAACACAACAGCTTTAGTGATTCAACGCTGTTATTAGTTGGTTACTGTGTGAATAATGTATTTTCTCTCTTAAAAGTTCCTGTATTCAGCGTCCATGATGGTCCAATCTTCAAGTACCCTGCATTTGAACACCTGTCAGGAATGGCAGCACTTAGTGCTGTTGGACTAGGTTTCCTGCTTGCACTGCTAATCTTTATAGACCAGAACATTGTCATCTCTCTTACACATGTACCGGAACACAAGTAAGAACCCACTTTTATGTCTGAATAGAGAGAAAAGACAAGAAAGTATGACATAAATTATGTCTATTTTCTCTCCAATAACTTCTGAATAAGAACAGCAATGTTCCTTTTACGCTTTAAGTTGGAGTTTTATATGTGTGTGTGTGTGTGCACGTTTCCATCAGGTTGTTAAAAGGCACAGCGTTCCACTGGGACTTAATGCTGACTGGCTTCATCAACATCCTCATGTCCTGTCTGGGGTTGCCATGGATGCACGCTGCCTTTCCTCATTCTTCCCTACATGCCCGTCAGCTTGCCAAAGTGGAACAGCATGTAGAGAATGGACACGTCTACACAACGTGAGTAAAGTTAAAAGAAGGATGGTTTAAAAAAAAAAAAAAAAAGAGTTTGAATCCTTTGCTGTGCAGGGAAGATGTATGATAATTATGCTGATTTTTTAGCACCATGAATTCCATTTGATTTGGTTTAAAAAAAGGTTTCATTGATTAAAAAGAGAAAACATATGCTGTTTTAACTCAGATCTGAAAAAGCCTTTAAATAAAGACACTGCTGATGTTTATCGGCCTTCTCAGGAGGGTGCTCTTGGATGTCCATAACGTTCATTTTATGAAGAATTCATCTTTGAGGAATCATTTCTAGAGGTGATAGAGAACTTCCTAGAACAGAGGGGGGCTTCTCTATCAGCTTGTTAAGCTTTAAGTCATTTACTTTGATGGTGCTACAGTAACAGATGACACTTTAGATAACAGACATACAGAAGTTAGCTTGTTGATGCATATCTTATTCTTAACAATTGTGGAAAAAGACGTAAACTTTTACGTAAACTGTCACCATCATAGTTACCTCTACATCAGGCGTGCTAAACTGAAGCCAAACTGAAGGGCCGGTGTTCTACAACTTTCAGATACACACATGGACAAGATTCTTAGTGCCCCTCGTTTAATGACAGACAAAAACACAATGGACACCAAAATAATAAGTATATAAAAATAAATAAAAATTCTATGAAAATGAAGAAATGAAATTCAGAAAATGCTTTTCAACCAGGCTTCGGGATGATTTAAAAAAATAAACTAATGAAACAAAAGGTAACCCTTAAATTAATATTTTGTTGCACAACCTTTTGAGACAATTCCTATAACAGTGAATCAGACTTTTGCTTCTCTCAGCAAATATTTTGGCCCACTCCTCATGAGCATACTTCTCCAATTGTCTATGGTTTGAAGGATGCCTTTTCCAGACAGCCTGTTTCAGCTGCTTCCAAAGATGCTCCATTGGATTTGGGTCAGGGCTCATTTAAGGCCACTTCAGAATAGCTAATGTTTTCCTCTTAGGCATTCATGGGCGTTTTTAGCTGTGTGTTTTGGGTCATTTCCTGCTGCAACATCCATGACCTGCAAATGAGACCAAGCTCTCCGAGCAGCACATTTCTCTCAAGAATCCCTTGCAAGTCCAGAGATTTCATAATACCCTACAGAGATTCAGACCCCTTTTGCCAGATGAAGCAAAGAAGCCCCAGAACATAACAGAGCCTCCTTCTCCATTCACAATGGAGGCAGTGTTATTTTCTTGATATGCTTCATTTTTCTGTTTGTGACCATTAAGCTGTTAAATGTTGGTAAAATTTTTACTTTTTTTCCCCATCTGTCCATATGTCCATTCTCTCAGGAGTTTTATTAATTAGCAACATGTAGTTTTGTAAATTCCATTGTATTTTATGATTTGTTTTAAACCATGGTGACCTCCTCGGTTGTCTTAAATAAGTTCACCTTTGCTCAAACAACAACAGATGGTATCATATGCTACTGATGTTCCTTTAACAGAAGGAACATCAAAAGGGGTTACAATTCTTACTATCCATCTCTATTGGTCATCGATTTTCCTTCTGGGCTACAGTCCCATAGATTTTACATTTCTGAACAATATGAGTTTATGTAATCCCAGGAACATCAAGCTGCTTGGAGATGGTCTAATCTCCTTTTTTTTCTTCCTTTGCTTCCTCTGGTCCATATTGAGTGTGATACACACCATGTCACCAAACAGCATTGTGATGCCTGTAACTCTATATATAGGCCCATTGACTGATTAAAAGATTGTAGACATATCTCCCTTTCATCACTTTATGTTAAACCTTTTCTAGGGGTCCCGATTTGTTCAGGGCTGTTTCATTATTTTATTTTCTTTAATCATTCTGTTGAAGCATGGTCGAAAATCTAATTCTGACTTTCATTTTGTCAATTTTTATATACTTTTCACTCATTATGACTTGCTAAATTCATGTTATTACTGTGATAATTTGTGTATTCTACTTTCAATAAACATGTGGTACCTGCATTTTTGCCATGTGTTTATATCCCTGGTCAAAAACAACTCAATCTATTGACTGAATAACTTCCTCAGCATGCCACCCAGTTCTGTGGTGTCCTATTGATAAACTGATTATTTGATTCAGATATGTTAAAGCAAAGACATATCTAAAAGGTACGACGACCCTCAAGGACTGGAGTTTGGCATCTGTGGTCTAGAACATTGATCCCAAAGGTTTTAGTTGTGACCCTACTTGGGGTCCTTGGTCAAGCAATATGGAGTCTTGAGATCCACTACACAAATTAAGATAAACAACACATTTTAATGCTGCATTGCTTGAAGCTCTGAAGGTATTGCTTACAATTGGAAGCTTAGGACTGAGACCTGACCAGTTTTATCTGCGATTAGCTCCACTTAAGAACCTTAAGACCATGTTAGAGATATTCCCAAATTTAGAGCAGCATTTCTTAACCCTGCTCCTTAGGGACCACTGTCCTTCAGTGTTTTAGATGTGTCTCTACTCAAGAAAACTTGATTCAAATGATTGCATTTCCACCTTGTAAGCCCTCAAATGCTGCAAAAGCCTGTTAATTACCTTTTCATTCAGTTCAGGTGTTGAGGCAGGGACACTCCTAAAACATGTAGGACAATGGGCCCTGAGGACCAGGATTAAGAAACTCTTACTGTAGATTAAAATGTAAGATTTTGTTTTACCATGAAAATCCTTGAATTTAAACAGGCCACTATAAACATTATCCAAATGCATATGCTTTGGAGAACTTAATTATCTAAGGCAAGATCATCAGATGAATGTTATCAGATTAATAGAATCTATTGTTTATTACATAAATATTTATGATTGAGTTTAGAGCAGGGACAAAACATAAAGATTATGTTTGCTGTTTTTTTTTTTTTTGTAAAGAAATATCGGTTTATAAACACCCAACCTGCTTATTTTCAAAGATATTTTTAGATTTTTGTTGACCAAAAATGAAACAAATCCTTTTAATTCTGAAAGAGACATTTCTGCAGAGTGAGCCATTGTTATCTATTTTATTGCGTTACCATAAAGAAACCACAGAGATTTTTGAATAAAACAGTTTTTCTTTGTTTCTTTGTTTGCTTTCTGTCGTTAAAGGATCGTCAGTGTCAAAGAGACACGTCTCACCTCACTAGCAGCAAATATCCTGATCGGCCTATCTGCATTCATGCTACCCATTCCTCTCCAGTGGATTCCCAAGCCTGTCCTCTATGGTCTTTTCCTTTACATTGCAGCCACTTCACTTGATGGAAATCAGATGGTGGACCGAATGACCTTGCTGCTGAAAGAGCAGGTGAGCAGAAAGATTTTTCAAACTATTAATTGCTTGGTTCAGCCATTAGGTTTCTACTTGTTTGGCTCATAATTTCAGTCCTCCGGTGTACTTAAATAAAATACTGATGAAGAGTACTTGAATAAAAAAAAAAAGTCCATAGTAAAGAAAAGGAACAAAAAAAAAGAAAAAGAATAATTTCACCTGAGATTCTTGTTAAACTAAAGATTTTTGAAATTTTTTTCAGTATGATAACAATAATTTGCATACAAAAATAAACTTATGTGATAGTATAGTGCTCAGTATGCCAGCCTCTCTTACCTTAACAAAGACTAAAATTGGTAAAATGAAAGGATGATTTCAAGACGGGGTTTTAATATGGGTGTATGTTGGTAAAGATTGTCAGTAATCCAGGTCATAGTAATTCCATAAAAGTTAAAAAACAATCCACTGGACTTTGTTTCCAAATTTGATGACATTTCACTTCCCATCCAGGAAGTTGAGCTCAAGGTTTTATATAGTAGCCCCTCAAAACCTTGTTTTGGTTTGGAAAACATGCAAATTGAAACAGATGAACGGGTCCACCCCTTTGGAATGGGGGACGTTTGACTTCATTCTTTTACCCTGCAATGCCCCATACCTGTCTAACTCTCTGAAAGGGGTGTCGTTAAAGGGAATTGTTGGCCTGGCTGAATAAGCGAGGTCTTCTGCTCCCCGGTAAAGGGGTTGGGGTTACAATGATTAATATGGGTTGTGTGGCTCATTGTCAATTTTAAGAAGATCAGACTTGGAAGTCAACTATTTAAAATTGATTTGTTGAACAAAATGAGCATAGTAAGAATCTGAATAAGACTACAAACGGTTAAAGTTGGTTTTTTGACACATGAGAAAATAGCTTTTTCTCTTTTATGTTTGAGTCTGAAAATCTTATATCAGTGAAACCTTAACTAGATTTTAAAAATCTAGGTTCAATATATTTGATATATTGAACCTTGATGCTATTTGTGGAAGACATCCAAAACAATGCTGTTAGGGCTTTGTACCAATGTCAGCGGTAAGACAGTGTGTTTACCCATTATAATGAATTAGGGTTGACCTGGCACTCATTGAAAAAGGAATTTAGCAATACTTTATGTTGTACTGTATTGTGGAATAACTGCTTGATTCCCCTTCTGTCGGTCTAGACATCTTATCCTCCGACTCACTACATACGACGTGTGCCTCAGAGAAAAGTACACTTCTTCACAGCCCTGCAGATGGTTCAGCTGATCATCTTGTGTGCTTTTGGGATGTATCCTCTCCCCTACATGAAGATGGTGTTTCCTCTACTGATGATCTTACTGGTCCCTGTCAGGTGAGATACCCGCATCCACTAATGAGTGAGGTGAATCAAAAAGGGCTATGGTTAAGTTTCAGATCAGCTGCTCAATGCTTTGATTTTACTGAATAAAATAAGACTCATAATTACATGTAGTTAGGAATAATGATTAAAGGTTGTTTTATCTAAAATGAATTACTTTATTTTCTTTAAAGACAGTTTCAGTTTAAAAATGCAATAAGGGCTTTTGGACTTACATGTAACATCCGAGCTCTTACTGTGATATGCAAGTTTTATCAGGACAAAGTAAGGACAGCAAATTCTAATGATTAGGGTTGGGAATTGATAAGATTTTTACGATTCCTATTCCCTTATCGATTCTGTAAAATGATTAGATTCCTTATCGATTCTCTTATCGATTCTGTGAAACAATGAACTTGGTAAGTGCACGGTGACATTTGTCTACCTTCGCCTGGGACGTTCTATATTTGCCTGCCTCGGTGAAAACAGAAGGCAGTAAACAGGAGCTGCCAGCCTCTGGGTCAGTCATGCTACCCGTCTCGTCACAGTCATATAAATCTAATGGAGAATTCATCTGTTTAATGAAAAAGCATTACTGTACAATGTCGGGAAATAAACTCATCTCCCCTGGGGTCACAATGTACTTGCTTACTGAATGCCGTGTGCATAACTTGCGTAAAAAATGTGACGTTGTACTGCCCAGCGCTAGGCTCTGGTGCTACCTGGAACCGTTAAGAGAACCGTTAAGCGAGCTGCCAAACGATGCCATGGAATCGGAACACACGGAACCAGTTCTGAACAGGAACCGGTTTTCAATTCCCATCCCTACTAATGATGTTCATTTCATTTCCCTCCAGATAGTATATGTAAACAAAGCTGTTTATTAGAAGCTGTTGTACTAAATAAAAAAGCAAAATATTTTAAGGATGTTGTGCTTTCTATTCCAGGACCAGCTTGCTTCCCAGAGTGATTGATGCCAAGTATCTCGACATCATGGATTCCCAGTACATGTAAAAAGACTGGATAAGCTAGTGAAAGGGAAGAGACTAAAAATGTACCTATTTGTAACCAAAACACGTCCATGTGATTTCATCTGAAACATTTGGTGGTGATAGGGTTTGCACTTCTAATTTTCATATGGTTTTCCTTAGAATCCACTATAACTGTAACTGGCTTCAATCTTAAACATCTCTGCAATATGATTGAACTCTTAGAGCTAGAAAGAAAACAACATATATACAATACCAACAGATAAATCTACATGGAAATCTACATGAAGCAAAATATGTGTTTATCATTTCTTTGATGAATAAAATGCTGATTATTTGTTTATATGGAGAGACACCTCTGTTTGAAATCCCTTGCTGATGAGGTTTAAGAATTATCAATTCTCCAAAGCAAATATTTATTGTACTTTTTAGCTGTGAAACCATTCATTCTGGTGTGTCACCTAATTTATTGTCTTATCTACTTGTCATCTCCTACACATGGGAACTGTGTTGTCCTTGCTGTGTTGTATTCCAAAGCTGCTTTACTTTAACATATTGTGGTCAAATAAAATATATTTCAATGGAAAGTGTTTAACAAAACTGATTTATAGTTTTCCTACAGAAAACAATTTGCCAAAAACTCAATTTGAGTCTGAGACCGCTCACAGAACTATCCCACATGCCATCAATAGATGGCAGTGGAGCTTTACACCTCTGCTAAGATTCAGTCCTAATCTGTGTACTCTCTATTTTATCCCAAAGAAATAAAATGATAGATCACGTCAGCCATCATCTTGTAAAAGAAATGGTGATAATGAAGTCCTGACCACACAGTTATTGAGCATGAATGGTTTCAAAGGTCACCAGGTTTATATGATCAGACATCTAATTTGTTTCATATGTTTGTTTTCCTGCAGCGTCACTTTTTTAATCCAACACCTGCTTTACTTGTTTATTTTAATCAAAACTTTCATTAATACTTCAATATTCTCCTAATATCAACTCTTTTCTGCTTCAGCAGTCTCTACTCAGCACTTAGCATATATATAAATACTTACAGGAGAAAATTCTCACTGCTGGAAACTTACTTTTGACTCAAAGCACCTTGAAAACTGAACAATAATAAAACTGTAAAATAATAAAGTCTCTATAAAAACAATCTTTATGACAACAGATTTTTTTGTTCAAATTCAAATGGTTAATTACCTTTTAGGTGTTGAATGATTGATTAAATAGATTTTTTTATAAATTTGACTTTATTGGAATTGTAATATTCAAGTACTTTTTACAATTGCTGACAAGCTTTTTGACATTTTTCAACAATATTTAAGAATGATCATCAGCTCCATGTTTTTCAGGTTCGAACACCTCATTACCACTTGACATTTCTGTCATGCATCTGTGAAGATGTGCCACCTTTGAGCTTTCTTTTACTATTGTAAATCACAGCTGTACATGGACAAATTTACAAAAGAACATAGCTGAAAGTCCAGTACACCAAAAGTAATTCTCTAGTATCAATAGTTTCAATAATACACATAAAATCTGAATTGTAAGGCCCATCATATACTTGTTTTCAAAGGAAACGGATGAAAAAACTTATTGTAACAATCAAATGTTGGCAGAGCAGATGTAATGACCAAAATGGTGTAGGCTGAAGTGAAAAGATACTTACACAATTCTAA